TTAGAAAACCTTGGAGTATAAGTTGGAGTATAAGCAAGTAAATCATGTGATTTGTTTTATTTTTTTTGGATAAAATTTTTGTAATACCATGACTTTAAAAAATAAGGATATTATTGTTTTCATTAACATACCGTTAACAGCCCATGTACGCTCTTAGCTAATAATATATTCAGCCAATACACCACATATGGAAATTATTTTCACTGTAAGAGATCTGTGCCATTGATAAAGAGATTGCTAACACCCCAAGGACCAATAAGTTAATTCTAACTGCAGGCGAGCTGCGCCTGACTGCAAGCATCACTTTGTTAAACAGCAAAACTAAAATGGATTCTGAGAACGTCATGTTCCACTGCAAAGCACCAGCAGTTTCTTAAAATGTAGATTCCCAATTGTCAAAATTTCCCTAGTATGACTAAACACACATCCATGTCAATATTTCCAGGGCCCGGTGATGCAAAAACTGACAGTCTGGGGTTTATATATTGCGTTTTATCCAACTTAAATGGAGTGACACATCGTGCTCTCCTCCCCATTTTTTGCTTGTCAGTCATCTTTACTGCAATGAATAAAGCTTTGAGCCGGTACAACCTGTCACTCTGCCACTCAAGCGCTTAAAAAAGACTTCATGTCACAATTCAGGTGGAGCTGGGGAGGAATTCCTGTGTCTCATTTGATTTCTCCTTTCCTGTCTAATCTTTCATTCTATGTGGGCTCGGCGTTATCTCCCAGAGGTGGGAATCACATTTTAATTAGGTCTATCCTTGGTTAGCAGTTTATCTCCGCATCTTCCTGCCGTATGTGCTCATGTTGTGGGCTTTGCCTCTTTGTTGAGGGCGCTCAGTCCCCCACTCCCTGTCAGAACATTACATATCCTCCTCCCCCCCGTCTTGTGCCACCTTTTCATTCTTTAACTGCTCCATCTCCTCTCACAATCTTGTTCTCCTGCTGCTGACAACAAAGAGCACCCAGTCTCACAAAAAACCAAAAAAGAAACTGTGTTTTGCAGATGGGAATAGCACAATAAACAGGCACAACAACAGAAACAATGGAGGGGGAAATGCACGTCTTTCACATGCTGAGGATATGGAGAAAATGGAAATGATCAGCTCCTGGCTCTTGGGTGACCAGCAAGCCTGTATATGGAATGACTAAATCTATTTAATGGGTTCTGAAGCAATCTCTGACCTCCACTGGGCCAGAGGGAAAGGCAATATTGGCAAGACTTATCCTCTCCAGCACAGCCACCACCAACTCCATTCTAGAAGTACGGTGTCTCTAATGGACACAAGCATTTCCAAAAGAGATAAATAAACTAAATAACCAGACTCTACCAAGCTGTCAAATAAACAGTCCATGCATCACAACGCAAGTTGCTGGACTAATAATAGAACCCTGCCGTCTGCTGTTCTGCCGTGACGGTGACACATTTTATTCTTTGATCCCTCAACAGGCTCCTACATCTCTATGCCTTGAAGAAGTCGACAATTTTGTTGCACACATAGACAACAGAGGGACCGTGAAAATATAAATTAGAAGATAAAAATTATAAACCCATACAATTAGTTTTTTTTTGCTAAATTACCTTAGACAAAAACATTTTTCTTGTCCCCTTTTAATAAGGTCGTTCAGATAATCTGACATAAATTATTATCTCTGAAAAAATCATTAGCAGTTAATATTGTACATGTTATACTGGAGATAACTCTCTTAGTGTCTTTGCATTGATAAAACTTTACAATGCAAGGTCAAAAACAGCTGAAATAACAAAAATCTTATTTATGTTACCCACTCTGAAAGCCTAGTAATTTTTTTTGTTTTGTTTTTATTCACTTGATCTAATACCCAATATATATATATATATATATATATATATATATATATATATATATATATATATATATATATATATATATATATATATATATATATATTGCAACTGCCTCAAAAACAACAAAAAAACAAATAAAAGTAGGATTGCAAGCAGAGTTTGTATAAGGAATGGTAATGATGCTAAAATTTTCAGTTAGAAATTCAACTAGTGGTGAAATTTCAATTTAACATTTCTTTCTTGTTTTTGACTGTTTTCATTTTTCATTTTTTCAGTTAAAATCTTCATCAACGATGTGGAAGATTGTCTGATAATAGTATGTTGAATTTGCTTTTGTTTTGTTTTTTATCCACTGTAACGCACTTTGTGTTACATTTAGCATTATAAAAGTGTTCTATAAAAGAAATGACTGACTGAATTCTCAATTTGCAGTGTACATTTGTAACTTTCTAAGAGTATCACAGCATCAGTCTTATTGCTGCTATTCATTTAACAGCTCTTAAGGGACTCTGGGAAAGGCTCACCCTCAAATCTGATAACCTATGCACAAAAAGAAAAACCCCTGCATGATGATGAGATAAAATCACATTAATGCAACAAAGCAGTGATATAAAAACATAATGAGAGAGGTGAGCTGCTCTTGCCCAGCAGTGGAATAGTGGTATGTTGAAAATTGGAAATATACCATGTGAGTCACTAGCATCGACGATAAATAAATACTGGATTATGTTTGGCAGCTTAAGAAAATACATGGTTAGTGATTGGATGTGACTGTTTTTTGGGGTTTTTTTAATGGACATCTGATGAGATCATCAGCTCCTATTACCATTATTGTGCAGAGCAATAATGGCACCCACAGTTCTAAGCTGCTGTGCAGCTTGTGTCCACCCACAGCCAAACATTGTGTTGTCTGCCGGGATGTCATGGGTCAGATTTATTTAGAGGGCAAATGCTCCATTAGTTTAGCTTTTTTAATTAGCACACTTGTGAGAGAGGGTCATTAAGGATGTCTGATAGAGGACCTGCTGATGAGGGAGGAAGGAGGCACTCCTTGGACAACACTCACACACACACAGACACTCAGAAAGGCACAGATCTGCTTAAAAAACAAATTTTCACACAGTCAACAACAAACACGCTCGATGCACAGGTGAGAATAGCTGCACTACGAAATGACTACATAGCACAAAAGCATCCCTCGGACATACTGTCCTTAAAAAATAATAACATGATAAACTATTCAACTTTTTCAGTTTCTCTGGCTGCAGTCAAGTTTTGATGTGTCTTACAGTCAACTACAATATTTACTTGGCTTGAACATAATGCAGAGATCAGCAGACGAACACTATGTGTGTTTAATTCTTATGACAGATCCCATCTTGTTGGAGTAGATGATAAACCCTCTTCACCAGGGTTACATGTTGAGATCCACAGGGCTCGGTGCTTGACCCAATTCCCTTTCCTATACAGCTGTTCTGATGAAAATTACAACTTCAAGAGAGCGATCATGTTCGTCCTCTTTTATTTCTTCACTGGCTCCCTCTTAAATTCAGAATAGATCCTTTAATAATAATCAAGCTCCATATGTCTGGGATGTTATTGTTTCATTTGTTCCTATCAGAGCACCTTGCTGTCAGACTGCAGGTTTACTGGTGGTTTCTAGAGATCTTAAAGCTAGAATAGGATGCAGATCTTTTAGTTATCAAGCTCCCAGTATTAGTCTGTGAGGTGTGCATCGTGTCCCTCTCCAAGTCATAGCAATTGGCTTTTCTTATGGCTGACTCTTTGTTCTTGCTTTTGTCCTACAAACTTGAAAACTGCTTCAGAGCCTATATGCTTTGTTTTGTTTCTCTTCTAGATGAAGTCACAAAAGGAGCTACTATTGTCAGTAACTGTTTTAATATTTTTTGTAAAATATAAAATATATCATTGCTTTTAGCATGAATGATTGCTACAAGTTAGGGAGTTAATTCAATCTTCTGGGTTTCCTTAGAAAATCGTTAAAAGTTGAATGCATTGTTTGACAGATTCGATCAATTTGTAGCTGATTTGGAATTTGTTTGAATGATTGGATTGAATTTACTTCTTTTTTTTAGTATGACAACTGCAAACGTTCCAAGTGGCCATTCACCTGCATGAGCTGCATCCAAATCCTATTGCCAGCTATTTTGAGGGAATCCTATCTTCCCCCTTTCTGTGAGGCTCCAAGTCACAGCTTGTTTAGTGATTTTATGAGTGGGATGGAAAGGAATATTGCAATTCCACAGCCTATGTCTCCCTCCAAATCTCCCTACACAGACAGCTGGTTTGTCTATTTCCAAAGGTCACTGTTGTTGATTTTATCTGGCCAACCAATGTTTAGCATGGTTCAGAAGCATCTGTTGATAGAGACTGCCATTTCTTCATAGCCCTGATTGTTATCCTCTGGGTTTCAGCTTCGAAAAGGTCTTTTGACCCAACAATGATGTTCAAATCGACAAGTTTCCTGAATTCCATTTTTTGTAAGGTTGTTCTTGTTATGGTTGATTGAATATTGTCCTTAGATTTGCTAATGTGAGTTTTTACAGCTGTGTTTGAGTCACAATGCCTGGTTATATGAGACCAGACATTTTTGCTGTGACTGTGCAGCGAGACAAACTATAACTTCACACCATTCAGCGAAACACAGAGAAGGCAGATTTATGGTTTTGGTATGCTTTTATCCAATAGAAAGCAAAAGAAGCCCAGCAGACATTGGATAGGTGGTAAGAGAAAAAAAACAAAAAACAAAACAAAAGACATGATGGAACCTGCAAAAGATCCGAGACTGGGATGTAAGTTAAGCTACCAGCAGAACAATGGAACTAAACACTTTAAAATGACAAAAGTTTAAACCTAAGTTGAACAAAGCACTTCTAATTTCAACATTTTATCAACAGAAGATGTTTGTTAACTGTGACTTTAACTCAGCACTATTCTAAAAAAAATTATTTTGTAATTACTTTGAGAGTGAAAAACTAAGAGGTTTTGGCATTATAAATGGCTTGGAATCTTGAAAATAATTTTCTTTCACTTTACATTTATGCTCTACTTTGCATGACCCAATGAATTTAAATCCCACTAGAACACACTGAAGCATAAGATTGTGCAAAAATTAGAAAAACACAAAACACGAAGTTCAGCACGCTACCGTTTTCTGGGTGTTCTGTTTCTCCAATGCTGCCATCTGGGGTGGTCCTCTCATAGTGGTCCTCGGGCAGGGTCAGGGGTCCGATGCGAGGACCAGATGAGGACTTGCTGCTGGGGGTCTCCGACTCCTCTAAGCCGCTGTCATAGTAGCTGTGCTGCGAGGCGTCCTGCAGGTCTTGCACGGGGTTGGTGGTGGAAAAGGTCACGCGACGATGGGGATGCTGCAAAACACAAAGCAACAGATGTTTTTCTTTTTTTTTTCTTCAACATAAGCAAACACGGCTTCTGACTACATTTTCTAGTTTTGTTGTCTCTGCAGTGGATCGCTCCCCAGTGACAAATGTTATACCTGAAATCGCTCCATTTATCATCACTGAAAACCTCTCTCTATAATATTCCTTCACCAAAAGTTAGAAAATAGTATCAAATATTAAAGCACTATCAAATATTAAAAAGACTTTTGCACTATTATTATTCTAAATTTTACATAAGGTATAAATATGTGAAGAGGATGAGGATATTTATTTCTGTAATAAGAATGTGCAAATTGGCAGCAGCAGAAACGAATAAACTATCACAAAACTCCACACCAACTCAAAAGACTTGTGTAAATAGGGGGAAAATACTGAAACATATTAAATATTATCTGTGCTAATATCAAGAAGGTTCAAAACTGGTTATTATCTGAAAAGTAAAGTATAAATTAATACAACCCACTTGAAAACAGAACCCATATTTTAAAAAAATATATTTGACCACTTTAATTTTGAAATCCTGTCTATGTTTTGTGTACATAAAACCATTATGCAAATGGTTGGAGTGTCATGAATAAAGCTTGTACATATCAGCTGTTTACCTACAGAGACAATACCTATTCATATGTATGAACCTGAATGCAAACATTAAAAGACAAACATCGTTGGGGTGTGAGGGGATGGCAGAAACTGATAGCGTCAAACATATTTTCATAGCTGTTATTATCATCATTAGTCAGTTAGAGGATTCATTCTCTAAATCTGTCGCCACCAAATGAATTCTGATGACAGTGATTGGTGCACTAATCAGTAGCCCCAGTAAGCTTCTTCCTCACAACACATTTTAATATTCCCCTTCCCAATCCCCCTCCATTTCTTCTTCCACGCCGTTTGATGTTTAAACCAGCAAAATAAAAATAAAAAGCCCAAACAATAGTTTCACAATTTCACGCAATTCCCAAGAGGCTCTAAATAAGTATAACAAAAAAGAACCTCAGAAGAGTACAGAGAAAACAGTTTGGGACAGGCATGATTATGCAAACGTTAGAACGCGTTATTAGGGGCTCTTTTGTTGTTTTATGCCGATAAGGTTTAATTAAAGATTAAAACAGTGAAATGAACAAACAAAATAAAAAGATGAATTCAAGAATGCGATTGCTTGAAGAGGAGCGGAGCGGCGCGTGATGAATCATTGGAGATCACACCCTTTATCAAATTGAATGGCTTGTAAATACAGTTAGGAGACCATTAAATTTCCTCATCCAAAGATCGGTTTACTAATGGCTACTTACCACCGATCCACAACAGAAAGATGACTCCTTGCAGGGCGCGTGTAGTCTTGCTTGCTGGCCACTCCCCTGCCCGCTCCACACCCACACATGAGCACCTCTCGTAAAAGTCAGGAAAGCACTGATACAGCAGAACAGGCCTGCCTGGGCTCTACTAGTCAGCTCCGATCAATACGAACGGCCTGCACTTTTTACCATTTCACCACTTTTCGAGCAAACAGTAGAGAAAAGAAATGTTTTTAAAGCTCAGGTAAGAGCCATCAACGCACTAATGCCATCAGTAGCCTTGCAATGTTTCCAGAAGCTCGTGCGTCTTCCCATCATCTTTCTTTTTACACGCAAACAATGCATCTGTAGTGAAATAATGATTATTAAAGTAGTGGAGCAGTGAGCAATTTTATCTGCCTTCACCCCTCCTTTTCTAACAGAGGTGCTACCACAGAGTCCAGTCAATAAACTGCACACGCTACTTGGTTGAAAATCTAGCATTTTTCATTCAACGGCAACATTACAGTGCCTTGCAAAAGTATTGAACTTCTTCATACTTTTGTTTCGTCCGCTCGCAACCACAAACCTCAATCTATTTTCATAGGATTTTACGCAAGCTGCCAACACAGAGTAGTACATGATTGCGAAATGGAAAGAAAAAAGATGCTAGTTTTTAAATATGTACACAGCATGTGAAGGGCCTGGGAGCATTTATAATTTTCCTTGCCAGAATACAGACAAAATGGAGAAGATCTCTCTTCGAGTCTTGGCTCAGATTTGCATTTTGATTTGCTTGAATGGTATCAGTAAGGGTTGATTTAAACTATTCCAATTCTTATTGTATTCCTCGTATTGTACTGTTGAAAGGTGAATCAACATCACAGGTTCAAGTCTTCAGCAGCCCGTATGAGATTCACTTCCAGGATTGCCCTAATCCTCAACATCATGATGCTACCAGACTTCCATAAAGTACAAAGCTCTCCTTTTATCAGATCCCCCCATCTGAGTTGAAGACCTTTGCAGCTTCAGACATTTGTTTAATGATCTCATTGCCTGTCAAGTTGCTATATGTGGGCTGTCAAGTTTTGATAGTTTCACAGTTGTACACAATAATAATTTTTTGAATGATGCATTTCATCCTACGCTGTAAGATGTTCAAAGGTTGGATTATTGTTTCATAACATAACTCTGGTTGAAATCTACAACCTTGATCCGTGATCTTACTGTTTGTTTACTAATGTTCTATAACAAACCTCTGATACATTCACACGAAAGTTGGATTTATGCACTTCCAGTTACAAACATGAACGCTACGTACAGCTGTTGAAGGCAATTGGTTCCACTGAAGTTTATGTAGATGAGTTCAAGTACAGGGAGTAGAATGCATATACGGTACATATGCCACATTTTCATGTTTTTCATCATAAAATTATTTCTCCACCGCATGATTATGCACTGTGCTTTGTGCTGATGTCTGGAAAAAAATCTGGTTTACGCACATTAAAGTTTGTGATTATAAATTGGTAGAATGGAAGGGGTTGAATAATTTTGCAAGGTGCTGAACACAACGCAAAAAAGTGAAACAGAGCTGTTTACAGCTCTGTTTATATTGTGCTACATATTTTTTACCAGCATATCTGCATGTTAGGTTCTCAAAAAAGAGAAAATAGGGCATTGGGAGATTGTAGCTTGCTTTCTTTGGTTTAAAACATGTTCTGTCATTGGTACAGCAACTTCTGTACAAATATGTGCTTAATAACTCTGCTTCATTCTCAAGAATACACTTTAATACCTAAAAAGTACATGACTTTTATGGACTATTTTAAATAATTCCAAACTAAACAGGAATATGCAGCAGTAAACAATAAGCAGCAGCACATCAGATGAAAATGAGTCCTGCTTCTGAAGGCGACTAATGTGGCTCCAACTGATAAATTACTTATGCCATTCTTACAATGATTGGACGCTCCCATAGATATATGAATTGTAGGTGATATTTAGCTGCTCAAATATGGATTGAAGCTTAAACTTCTCCTTAAGGCATCACTCCAAAGAGTCAACATGATATGGTAACTAACTAAAGCTGGATAGATGTTAAATAGATTCTCATTTAAGTCGGTGCAAAAGAAAAAAAATCTTTTGCCAGGCCTTGGGGGGCTGCAGGGATGCAGCAAGACGGAAGGACGGAAAGAGGAGGCTGAGCGGGATTGCGGGAGTTGGTCAGGCAGACACGGACATCGCTGTGGCTGGAGGGGACAGGCAGACGGATTAGATTCTGGGAGACTGCAGGCAGGGAGAGCGGGGTTGTTTGGGCATTGTTGTAGGAGCAGGAAGCTGTGGCGCTGAGAATGGGAGAAGGGACATTAACTGTGACATCTGAATTCATAACCCCATTTAGATTGAGCTAAAATGACCTCGTTTGTAATAAAGCAATCCCAAAGCAGATGGAAAGATACAGCCGGATTGTGTCTTTGCAAGAGGAACAAGACACATTTTAATGCTGTAATAAAAAGCAAAAATCCACTGCCTACCTAGAGCCCAGATTTTTTTCTTTTGTTTTTTTTTTTTCGTAAGACTGCCAAAAGTATTATCCATACTGCAATGCCACAGGGTAATTTCAAGCCTATTGATATTCAGTTAGAAACAGAAGCTGCCAATTAGATAACAATGTTTTTATGCCTTTATTACATTACCATATGCAGAACACTGTGGTCAAGTAAAAAAATAAAATAAAATGAAAAAAAATAATTGAAAGTGACTAAGAAAGCTATTTGGTCTGGAAATGTACAAATTGACATAATTTTCTCTTCTTGTATTTACAAGTTTTGGTCAAGAACGCTGCCGCTAGGCCCAGTGGTGGAGCATGCGCACCGTATGCAGAGGCTTAGATCAAGGTCCAATTCCCAGCGCTGGACCAATCACTGCATGTTGTCTCTCTCTGCCCTTCCATTTGTGTAGCTACAAATGAACAAAGGTCACCAGTGCAGCTAAAACCTTTAAAAAAAAAACTGTAGAACCCAAAATACTTTTCATTAGTGTCTGGAAAACATGGTTTATTGCCTAATTTTTAAACATTGCTTCAAGACTTCGTGAAGCAAACAGACAGTTTGTAAACTCAAACAAAAAAGCTTGCCAGCTCTCATTTAAGAATGGCTGCTCACTCATTAGCAGACCTGAGTCTTATTTATTTTGTAGACTCTTGATCGTACAGTAGAATGGCAAATTTTGAATTCTTGAAGCCCTCTTTCAATATCTGACCACACTCAAAGGCTGCTACAGTCTTCCTTCTGAAGGCCTCTTTTAATCTTGCCACGGTGTTCAATCATTCTTCAACAGTGAGAAGCACGCCAACATAAATCTCTAAAGTTGACATAACAAAAATCTGTAACACTTAATTTGAAGGGTTGTGCATAAGACTGGCATAATACTGCCTTAAATATGACATAACACCTGTCATAAACATGAAGGCGTCTTAATGAATGTTTATGACTGTCATGAAGTGTCATTCGGTAGATAATGATGTTTTTAATGAACTTTTAAAAGAAGTTATTATTAACAGAATAATGCAAGTTGGCAATTTTAATGGACTTTTAATGAGACTCTTATTACAACTTTGCATTCTAAGTGTCATTATTTACCAAATCCTTCATGTTTAAGTTTATGACAGAATCATGTTAGTCTTATGCACAC